CGTATCTTCGTAATCACCATTTGACTCATCCAAATCTTTTCGAATATTTTCACTCTCCTCATACTGATCCATAAACACTCTGAAATGTTCGTATTGGATATTCTGCAGTGAATGCCAACTAGTACTGCATGTCGTTTCCAAATTTCTGGCAGAATGAATTGCGTCATGGTGATCTTTTTCACACAGACTGTGGCGTAGACAAAATCAAAAACACACAACGCACATGCGCGAGGTTAAAATATAAAATGTCTACAATTTACTCATCGCTCTCTGTATATGATTTCCGTTATCTCCTCCTCATCCAACATTTTCTTCTACTTCTTCTCCTTCTTCTACCAATAATAATACTTCTTCTTCTTCTTCTTCTTCTTCTTCTTCTTCTTCTACAACTACTACTATATACTACTACTACTTAACCTTCTTCTTCTTCGCCTCCTCCTCCTCCTCCCCTTCTTCTTCTTGTATATGATTCCCGTTATCTCCTCCTCATCCAATTTTCTTCTTCTTCTTCTAATTCTTCTTCTTCTTCTTCTTCTTCTTCTTCGTCGTCGTCGTCGTCGCCGTCTTCGTCGTCTTCTTCTTCTTCTAATTCTACTACTACTACTACTACTACCTCTTCTTCTTGTTTTTCTTCTTGTTCTACTATTACTACTTATCCGTCTTCTTCTTCTTCTTCTCCTCCTCCTCCACCTTCTTCTTCTTCTTCTTCTAATTCTACTACTTCTTCTTCTTCTTCTTCTTCTTCTTCTTCTTCTTCTTCTTCTTCTTCTTCTTCTTCTTATCCTACCAGTAATAATAATAATACTTCTCCTTCTTCTTTTTCTTCTTCTTCTACTTCCTCTTCTACTACTACTACTAGTACTACTACTACTACTATTTCTTCTTCTTCTTCTACTTCTTCTTCTTCTTCTTCTCTGTATGTTTGACTCTAGTTACATCTAATATTACGCTGAATCCCGAATTCTTTTATAACAGTTGTTTTAATTATCCATTTTAAGCTTATATTTACTTATATTTCTTGTGGTTTCAGTTGTACTGATTTAGACTTTGTTTTACTTTTGTTTACTTAGTAACAAGTGACTCAACGTAGAATGTTACAAGTGAAATTGTTCAAGAAAGAGGAGGAGAAACTAAGAAGTGTTTATTATTGTGATGTGTTGGATAGATAACCTTTAACCCTGGATTTGATGGCATTAACATTAGACTAGTCAATGAACCATTCTCACGGGCTTCTGTTCCACAAAGAAATATTTTAAGGAAAGAAGTTGTCTGACTGAAAGGAATTCAAAAGGAATGGCCGATGATATTGCCGCCGTGCACATTGCATGACGGGAAGATCTGTACATTTCCCATAGCAGTAGTAGTGACCGTAGAGCGTTTCAATTATGATATAAGTGTAGCTGGGTGGAAACTATAAGAGACTCAGTCAGTCAGTTATCTGCGTGATACACACTTAGTCGATCATGTATCTTTCGATACATGACAGACGAAGCAGATTTTTTCGTGCAGTAGGTGGCTATTTATTTCTGCGGTAGAACAGTTGCCATCCATGTCTATAGAACCCAGTCTATCCTGCTGTTTACCCATAGCTTGGGGGAGAAGATTCCTACCTTTCCCAAGAGTATTAGCACGTAAGTGAATGCAATGGATTCGACTGGAAAGTAGGTCAGTCAGTTATGTGTCATGCGTGATAATAGCTTAGACGATCATGTATCTTTCGATACATGACAGTCGAGGCAGATTTTTTCACGCAGTAAGTTGCCATTTCTTTCTGCAGTAGAACTGTTGCCATCCTTAGAACCAAGTCTGCCCTGCTTTTTAACATAGCTGGGTGGGGGAGAAGAAGAGGATTCATAACTTTCCCCAGGGTGTTAGTACGTAAGTGAATGTAATGGATTCGACTAGAAAGTTAATCAGTCAGTTATGTGTCAAACGTGATACTAAAGGCGATCATGTATCTTTCAACACATGACAAACGAGGCATATTTTTCCCGCAGTAAATTGCTAATTCTTTCTGCTGTAGACCAGTTGCTATCCAAGGCTATAGAGCATGGTCTCTTGTCCTATTTACCCATAGCTGAGAGTGGGGGAGAAGAAGAGGATTCATACCTTTCCCAAGGGTATTAGCACGTAAGTGAATGTAATGGATTCGACTGGAATTCGAACGCGGCTCTACGATTACTCAATCTGAGCCACTATCCATTTACTTCACCGTGCAGTATGAGACTACAAAGATGTGAAAGATCAAGGAGGCAAAATGTTATATATTTATATAAAGAATCCTTCCAATTTGTTCACATGACAAAACTATATATATATATATATATATATATATATATATATATATATATATATATATATATATATATATATATATATATATATATATATATATATATATATATATATATATATATATATATATATATATATATATATATAATCTAGACATACAATGTGTATTTTATTTTAAGCCTCCTCTAGAATTCTCTGATCGACA